AAGGTAAGAGAAAACCATTACTAGACTGAACAGCGGTGGGTTTCAAAAAAATTTGGAACCTCTTCTGTAGGTGTGGCCTGCTTTCCGGGTCCACTGGTGGAACCTCTTCTAACCGGTTCGGTAGATTTGACGAACCGGTTCTACCGAATAGGTGCGAACTGGTAGGAACCCACCTCTGAGACTGAATGACTGTGAACAAAGCTTCCCAGTCCAGGTATAGGCTTAAATGGCTCAGAAGATGGGCAAAGATATCATGGCCATAGTTTCCACCTGCTCCATCCAAGTTCCTATAGGCAGCATGGTTGAATTTTCTTCTTGATATAATCAATTTCTTTCCATTTTTATCCTTGTTATATGTATATTGTTTGGTTTCAAACTGTCCTCTGTTATTTCCTTAGTTCTCAATAGGTAAACCAAAGAAAAAGCTGAAGTAATATTTAATGGGTCATAATATTCCTGGATATATCTGATTTATATCCATTATTGCTTTCCTAACTAGGTTTCCTGCTTTTTATTATTTTCACTTCATTTCTATCTGCTTTTCTTTCTGATAACTTCCAGTTTGTTTTCAGAAACTCTAGGCCTATTTTGATATTATATGGTTTTAACAAGTATGCTCTTCCCCTTTCTTCGTTATATCCATGAGATAATATTTAATTCAAAATTCCCATGTTATGAAGTGACCATACTTTAACAAAGTGGCTAAATTAAACATAGTTCTTCTGGTTTTCTTAGACGCTGCAGTTGATCACAATTAATAGAAAAGCAGTCATACCAAGGCAAGTGAAAATATGATGGATCAAGCCTAGGAGTTGAAGGATTGATTCCTTCATTCCTTCTTTCCTTCCTCTCTTCCTTCCTATTAAGTTGGGGGTGAATGAAGAGGCAGGTCTCCAAAAGTGACTTCAGCTCTTTATTGTGCGACTGGTAAAACAGGCTTGGAAAAACCTCTCTGCCAGCTGCTGAAAGTGCTCTCTTTTTTAAGGGCACTGACAGGCAATCCGGCCACTGACATTTCTTTATTTTTCCCACCGCTCTAATGGACCAATGCTAATGTCCTATTTAACACCCTCCCTGCCCCAATCTGAATGAAACCTTTGCTCCCTATTTGCATATTTAACCCTTCCTGCCTTCCTGCCTCCCTCCCTCCCTCTCCCAATAATGTATGATTATTACAACTAAACCAGCTCCATTACTGCCTGATATACTGCCCAAGCACCCATATATTGTTTTCTCTGCAGGAGTGGTAATAAATCTTTTCAACTATATGTATATTGGGAAGGACTTTGTATGGGTACGTTCATCCATTTATTTTTTTGACTTATTCAACCTATCAAACTCAGTCTGGATACACGATCTGACACCAGCACCATGTGGTAGGGACTCTTACTATATTGTTAATGGTTATGTATCGTTGTTTTGCAGGAAACAAGCATCTGAATTCAAAATACAGATGCAACAAGAAAGTTACATAGCAAATGTACTTGGAAAAAGGCTCAAGAAAAGCTTTAAGTAATTACAGAAGCATTCCCTTGGATTACCATCTTCGGACTTTTTTTGTCTTCTCTAAAGGATTTCCCAAGTTTTCCCGCTGAAAAATTAATAAAATATCAAGTTTTCGTTTCTCATTCTTTTTATTGGGTCAAAATTGAATATCCTTTATTTATGCATTTATCTAAAATAGTGGGAATACAACACAGCTATTCTGAAATGCTAGTGTTGGAATGTTTTGTTTCATTCCTATCAAGGAACATAATTAATGGTGGGAAGGGCAATAAAACAACAAGGCTATCTTATCCCAATTCATTATGTTGGGTGAAACATATGAGCAATTAGAAGTGTTGCACTAAGAAAGGAGCTTCTGAATTTTTCATGATCTCTAGAAAAGTCTTGAACAGTTCTGCGGATTTGAAAGGTTTTGCAGATGAAGAAGAATCAGCTAGGCAACTATAAAGATCTAATAAGAAGAAGGCAGACCTCTGATAGGAGCACACTAAATATTTTAGTATAGTACAGGGCTGTCAAACTTGCGGCTCGCGGGCCAGATGCGTCACACGCTGGCCATTCCCACACCCGATTTAGCAAAGGGGGACGAAGTCCTGATATGTCACATGACACCGCCGTGACGACACAAGTTTGACACCCCTGGTATCATACTTCACAAATTATCACAAATACTTCCTAATTTTCTCTATCTTGGAAAAGAGGTTCTTGGGATTCAGGTAGTCAGCTATGTCTGGATTACATCTCCTGGAGATATGTCCTATTTTGAAGACACCATACATTGGAGAAGTAATATATTTTGGCTTGCCACATTTCCAAAACTATATAATATACCAATTATAGCTAGATAAAAGGGGGGCAATAGTGAAACTTGCTCCAGACAGAAATGGTCAATTTCAGTATAGTCTCTGCTGGCTGTTTTCCCAGTAAATGTCCACCACCTAGCCTTTATTCCGTATACGATCCCCATTAATTGGTTCTCCTAATTTATTTAGGATTTACATCCCTGATTTATCTGAATGGCTGAGTTGTTGGGTGAGTTGAGAACAATTCTGCTAAACATTTTGGATTCTGGTCCTTCAAAACCTCAGTTAATATACTGTGTTTACCTTAAGTTGTAGTGAGATTTACATGTTTTTTTAATTAATTCCCAAGCCTTTAAATTTAGCTCCATTAGTGAACTGATCTGACCCAGAGTATCCAGTAGCATGATCTTGGCATCGCTGTAGTGGATTAGCACCTGCTGCTGTTCCTTTGCTACCCGTTTTTGAAAAAACTAAATAAACAACATAACTTTGCTATAGTTTCCACTAAGTGCAGCCTGTTGTGTCCCATGCCATGTGTTGTAAACTGATATACACGTAGCTATGTTTACTTGCTGGTTGGTTCGAAGAGAAAGAAAAAAAAATCTCTCCTTTATTCTATGGATATTGAACGTAAGAGGGATATTTCATATAAATCTTGAAAGCCGAGGTGGCGCAGTGGTTAAATGCAGCACTGCAGGCNTATTTATCCCCTTTCCCTTGTCTGTTGTGAGCCGCCCGGAGTCCTCCGGGAGTGGGCGGCATACAAGACAAATAAAATGAAATGAAATGAAAAAATGAAGAGTGTGGTCAGAAAACTAATCCTCTCATCTAGTTGTCTGTGTTGTGCAAACAGCTGATGGATGTGTAGGTTAATTGTTCCTTTGCACACCTCAAGAGAACATGGTGGGCCTGATGAAAATGGGGATTCTCAAGGCACACTGTTGTGGCTTTCAGTTTTCTCCTGTGAGTACATGTGGGATGAAAAAAAAAAGATGTACAGGGGAAATGAAGAGTTTCTTGACCATCTAAAGATGTTCTCATCCCATCTGGGCTATTGCAGATGTTCTGTGTTTTGTACATGCTAAATGAAAATAAAATTTAAAAAGGATGTGACCGCTTCCTTTACACATACTATCAGAATTAAAAGGCCATGAGGACAACTGAGAGAGGGACATCCCAAGTCATGCACTTCCATGGACAGTTAACTCACTGGAGTAACAGATTCCTAGTCAACCATGTTATGTGAACATAGATGTAGTAATAATTTAAAATAGATAATAACGATTTTTGAAATAAACAGGTTGCTTTTATATTTAGATGTGCTTAAGTATACTCAGCTCAACATCTAACTGCATATAGCTGAGATCTGATCTAAATGATAAGATTCTTATATACAAACAATAATTTACAAAATGTAACTTTTTTATAGATAAACATACAGAAAGAGAACTCGGTAAATAAGGAGGAATATGATGCTATTGTGAAGAAACTTGAGGTGTGTAAGCTTCTGGTTACTAATCTGTGATATTTCTTCTCTTGTGTAAATATAAGGCAGAGATAAGAAAAAAAAATTCTGATATCTGAAAGAGGTGTGTGTGCGTGTGTGTGTGTGTGTGCTGGTATAGATAGATAGATAGATAGATAGATAGATAGATAGATAGATAGATAGATAGATAGATAGATAGATAGATAGATAGATAGATAGATA